CGCCGCCGCAGTGCCCGCCACGACGCAAACACACAGAGCGCCCAGCAAGTGAACTCCGCGAGGGGACGTTTTGCCACGCGACGCGGCCGCACGGGGCGCAGCCGGCGAAGGCGAAGGCGAAAGCGGCAGACAAGAGGGGGCCCTTCGCTCCCTCCCGCGTCGCTGCAGCTGACGGCGCCGCGCCGGAAGGCAATACACCCACACACACGCAGCGCCCTGCGCCCGCAAGGAAGCGGAGGGAGTGAGGCGCAACGCACACCCAGCACGGCACGCAGAGGCAGCGCCGCCCAGGCCGCTGCTCTGCCCTCACCGGCCGGCATCGTGCCGCACCGCAGGCCGCGATGGACGGTGCCCCGCACACTCGCGATGAGATGCACGCGCCGCACAGGCACCCCGCCCACTCCCTCGCGCTGCAGCGGGCGCCCGCGCTGCCGCAGCGGATAACAAAAAAAGGGCCGTCGTCGTGGGCTGCCGGCGCGTCTAGCGGGAAGGAGGAGGAATGAGGGGGAAATGGGGGCGTGTCGGCGGCACAGCCGGCAGCAAACAGGAAACGAGGACACGCAGCGGCAGTAGCAGACACGGCGCACAAGCTAAAAGTGGTCCGCAGTGAGTTATCCCAAGGAGAAGGACAAATAAAGCAAACAAAAAAAAGAAGGAAAATGGAAAGCTACGGGAGCCCAGCAAGAGTCCCGGCAAAAAGAAAAATAAAAAACAAACAAGCAGAAAAAGGAATTACTTCGGCAGGTGCTTTTTTTTTCACGTGTCCGGAAGCCCAAGAGGACTGTGTATCCTTCGCTTGCACAAAGAAGAAAAGCAAAGAGATCGCCCTGGTCGCACGAACCTCCACACTCCTGCACCTCACGGTGACCGGCACCGCGTGTGTGCGTGCGGGCGGCAGCAAACGGGAGGGGGAAAAGGCTGCGTCGCCCAAGGGAAACTGCATGGATTGGCGAGGCACGAAGTGAAAAGAGAAAAGGGAACACTCCTCAGAGCACAGGGGGGAGAGAGACGTTGGCCCAGAGAAACGACGAGCAAACTGGGCGCACAAAGCGTACGCGTCGTCCCTGCCAGGGTGTGTGTGTGTGTGTGTGTGTGCAGTTGCGAGGGGTCTGGGTGGCCGCACGCTCTTCACCGCGGGCAGACAACCCGCAAAGAGTCATTGGGCTCGCAGGGGCCGCAAGCGGCAGCGCGAGGGGCAAAGGAGCCTTCCTGCATTTACACAAGCGGCAAAGCTCACACCCTCGCCAGCAAAACGGGGTGCGGTCGTAAACTCCACACAAACCGTCTGACCCCCTGCGCCCCCGC